TTTTTATGTTTTTTTATTTATTTTATATATCGAAGTCCATTTAAATGAAAACAAACATTTATAGACAAATTTGGGAATTTGGGCCTCATTCTTTCCAAACTACTTCCTGCTGGTAAGGGGTGCTGTCATGGAGGATTCTAAGAAGATGCAGAAATCCTGGCTGTAGTCTGTAAGGCTGCTTTGTCCAGCTGTTTTGAATGTAGGATCACCTGGTACTCTGTTTCAGGCAGTCTGGCTTGATCAAACCACATTAGTCTGGAAGGAATCCACATCTTTTCATTTTCTGTGGAAACAAAACTAGAAATCCTTTTCCCCAGTAATTTGTCCTTGAACTTAAATGCTGGAGTCAAAGCATTGTTTTTAATTTATTATTTTACATGTCGATCCCAGTTCCCTCTCCCTCCCTCCCTCCCTCCCTCCCCCATCCCTCCCTGCCTCCTTCCCTCTCTTTTACCCTCTCTGCCCTCTCACATGCACTCTAACCACCCTCCACTCCCATCCCCCCCACCCCAATTCCATATGTAGGGGAATGCCATCCAGTTGGGGTCATGTAGATCTGACAGGTCATGTGAAGTAGGGACTAGGGCTTCTCTCCTGTCTCTAGATTAAAGCAGTTATCCCTCCATGGGGGATGTGTTGGCAGGGTCCTTTTGTGCACCAGGAATACATCCTGGCTCCACTGTCTGAGATCTCTTAGACTGTTCAGTCTTTCTGGCTGAGACCCATATTCAGGGAGGCCTGAGTCAGTCCCACGCGGGCTTCCCAGATATCAGTCTGGTGGCCCGTTAGCTCCTATTTGTTAAGGTAAGCTGTCTCTATGTGTTTGTGCCGTCTGGTCTTGTCCTCTCCATCTGTATCTGGGTTCTACTTCGACTCAGTGTTTATGTATGGGTATGTGCTCCTGTTTCCATCAGGCATTAGTTGAGGGCTCCATGGATAAGTTAGTTGTTGATCTCACTCTCCGTGATTTATGGTAGACATTCCATGGAAGCTCAAATTGTTAGTTGGCAGCAGTCTTATAGTTCTCTAGACCTTTCTTTGTGGTCAATTTTATTTTTAAACCAATATTGGCTCCCTCTTTTATGCTCTCTCTCTCTCTCTCTCTCTCTCTCTCTTTCTCTCTCCTGTCTTCTATTCCTAACTGGGCTCAATCTTCCTGGCCGCACATGGTTTTCCTTTCCCCCGCCTCGTTTTCTTCTACTTCTCTCTCCATTTGAAGATCTTTACTTTAACATGATTAGCTAGCCAATAAGACCCTTGTTTATGTTTCTAGATATACTGTCTGCCATCTCCTGCTTATCTCTCTTTTTACCCTCTAAAATGCATATTCCATAAGCTTGAATAAGCAGTGTACTTTGGTCTTATATGTGTACAGATCTTCTTTGAAAGGGATTTTTTTTGAAAAATAAATCTTTTAAAACATTATATACTTCAAAATGAAGGTCTATACTATTATGTCCATGCCATCAATGAACCTGTTAAACATGATTTTCAAGTAGATACAAGAATCACAGCAGAGTATTATTAAGTTAAAATTTTGTACTTTAGTACCTTGATTGTGTCTTCCTTTTATGAAAATTTATTTCACTGTATATTTCTTTCTTCATAATACATTCATTGAAGTATTATTTAACTTATATAATTCTGAGAAATAGACTTGAAACAGTGTCTAACAGTTAAAATATCATTTATTAATCATTTGGACTATTTAATTAAAGAACAATTACTATCTAAAAATGCAATTTTCCTACTCATTATTATTTTTAAAATCTTTACTTACAAGTAGAGTAACATAAAAAATACATCAATTATAATCTGAAAGTGAAGGAGTCAATTTTTCAATTCATATCACAATTAAAAATGGAGGTGACAAAACATTGGCACTCCATCATTTTGACATCATCATTTCAGATAAGGTAAGAAACTATTCAGGGAAAAAATGTAAATTTTCCAAGAGATTTTTCTGTTACCATAGCAACTACAGGGACTATGGTTTCATTTCTGGTGTGTCAAAAATATAAAGATCACTTATTTCCAGACCAAATAAAATAATCAAAAACAATAAGAAATGTTATATTTTGGGTAAACCCTGAAAAATTTAAATTTTTCTTTGGTGCTTATATCCTTTTACACTGCGCCATGCCTAGGGGATGATATTATGTTTAGGAGCTTTGAAAAAATTCTCTAGACTCTTGCCAAGTTTTTTTACTCTTCCCTGGGAAAGGAGGAAGGAGCAATTATGTAGTTATCTAAGGAGTATGTCATCATCCAACCTAGTTTCTGCTTTCCTCATTTTAGAAAGTTTTACTGCTTTTGAATACTAGAAGAGTTCATGACTTGCTTCTGAGCAATCCTACTATTTTCCAGATAACTGTAAGTTAGATTTTTGTCAAGAAGCATCTCAATCTCAAATCCTCAGAAAATATATGTATCATGTGTGGTTGTTCTTGCCTACACATAAGCACCCATATGTTCAGGAATACTCAGACATATATAAGCTTACACGTCACAAGAAATTAGAACCATGTAATGTTTTTATGCTGGTGGGTAAGATCCTTTTCTTTTCATTTGAATTTAGCCTTTGTTGGTGCATATAGATATGCACTTTAAGTATTCAGGCTACCAAAATACAGAAAATATGATCAGTTGTCTAATGTGAATTCAAAAAATCAACATTCCTTAAAAGTTAGTAGAAAACTTGTCAGAAATTTAATTTTTGTTGATAGATCAGCCACCCAATAAAAAGATATTACAGAATCAGAAGTTGCATCTGATAAGTTCTGTGGAATTCAAGTTCTCCCAGTCAGGTAAATTAGCAGAAGCAGAAATGAAGTAATGTAAGTGTAAATACCTGGCACATGACCTAAAAAGGTTAAGACAGATAGACAGGTTATTGCACTGAAGGCTCAGAGCCACAAAAGATATCAGTGCTAGTGAAACTGACAAAGGCAAAGACATACTGCTACAGACACTCTGGACCCAGTGAGTTTTATGATTAATTGCAGACAACAAGTCTACTCTATCCTCTTAAAACATTTTTTTATAACTTATGTTTTCAACTATTTATAAAATATAAACTTTTAGTCAATAAATAGACACCTCATGCCAAATAAAGCAAACTATAATATTCCATTTTTACTGAAAGAAAATGAGAATGCCTTTACCCAGATCTAATAACAATTAATCTTTTTCAAAATGATCTCTTTACTCCACCCTTACTATTAAAGACATCCATCCTTATGCAACCTTACTTGTGTTCTCTTAAAATCTTCCTTTAGCCATGCAACTGTCTCTTATGCAATTAAAGCATAGCATATTTCTGTGATTACCATTTCTGTAAGTAAAACTGGTGGGAAAGAGTTTTAGTGTGAAGTTTTAAAGATGAGTAAATTCACAGGCTATTTCTGTGTTATCACGCCCTCCTTTCCCTCATATGTCAGTACCTAATGTGTCAGATATGTCCTTTTACCTCAGAGTTCAGTTGAGGTGTTGAACAAGTAAATACATTTCCTATTATAGGTTATACATGAAATTGAAGAAAATACCTTATTACCAAGAAAACCTTAACTTGAAACTAATTCATATCATCTTCTATACATCTTTTAGTAGATAGATATACAAGACTATAAGCAAAAATTGCTTTCTTTTTAGTTTTAAAAGTCCATTTAAAATATTTGCTTATAATTGACATGATCTATATTCTCACCATGTTCTACAGTTTAATTTTCATAATTTGTAATTTACAAAGTCAAATGTCACTCACTATTAGCTATTCAATTAAATGCAGAATTTTCAGTTTGAGATTCAAAGCCCATTATTACATGTTTATAAGCTTTCTATTCTAGGCAATTTTCCCACGGGGATTTATATGTTATAAAATCATTTACTTCTGATGACTTATGTTACAACTTTTTATAAATGTTACACATGGACTATAATGTCTTTCCTACTGCTACTTGACTATTACTACCCCATATTCCATATTTCTCATTACCAAATGATAAATCATTCCTTCTTCTAGCTTCTAGAAAACATTAGAGAAATAGTGCAAATGAGTAACATAGTAGAGTAAGTATGCTTGGACTCTGGTCTGCATCCAAAAGGAAAACACAGAAGAGAAGTAAAAGGAAAACTTATACCTTTCCAAATCAGGACTCAGAAAAGTAGACAGACCTAATGGAAAATTATAGTGAGTTTGAAGTGGCTGTGTTAAAGAGCATGGATTTCATGAAGGAAAACTATATTATCTCATTAAAAAGAAAATTATTTCTCCTATTTTGTTAGCCTCACTTAAAATGTATTTGTCTTCCTTAGATGTGGTCACTTGGCCAAGTGGTTGGACAGAACAAATTGATTAAAAGTTTTAATTTTAAAATTAACTTATTTTGTTGTTAATTTACACGTGTATGTGTGTGCTTGAATGAGTTTTTGTAAACCATATGCATGAAGGAGACTGCAGAGGCCAGAAGGCAGCATCTAATCCCCCAGAACTAAAATTGAACTGTCAAGAAAGGATGCTACAGAGGCAGCATACTGCCAATAAATTATGTTTCTGTCTAGATTTCAGAGAAAACACCCTGGATAAAAATCCAAGTTTGAAAGTCAGTATCTTTTATTGACTATTGAAAGGTACAAGAACTGATGGAAAGCCATTTGGGCATAAAAGGAAGGCTGTGAAAACACCAACCAGTACACTCTTGTACTGACATAAGAAGGATACAAAAAGGAGAGTGAATCTGAAGGCATGAAAATAGAAAACCCAAAAGATCTTACGCCAAATGAAGGCAATTTGAAGCTGTAGAGTTAAATCAATTATACTTGAATGAATACTTTGACTCACTCATTTGATTTAGGTATATCCAACTATTGGAAATAATGTCTAATCTGTATGAAGCCAATTATTTAGAATTGCAAAGCTATTTCTTCTAGGACTATTTCTCCTTTTTTACTTTCTAGAGAAAGCTGATTTATTTTTATGATATATGTTTTCATTATTACAGAATATAAAAGACAATCTGCAACAATTCTCAGGTCAGATAGATGTTATTCACAACAAGAAGACAGCAGCCTTGCAAAGTGCCACCACTGTGGAGATGGTGAAGCTACAGGAAGCAGTGTCACAGCTGGATTTCCAGTGGGAAAAAGTGAATATAATGTACAAGGAACGACAAGGGTATGTAGCATTTTAATTGTCCAGAAATATTATATAGCACTTTTCCGGAAATTAAAATTTATTCAAATAGTCATTTTCTTTTCACATCACATTTGACCCTAGATGTAATATTAAAAAAGGAACACTAGTGCTAGTCCATAGAAAAAGTAGTTAATTTCATACTAATTTGAGATGTTTTAGGTTTCTGGTAACTATGGCTCTAAACTCAATAGTCTTACTGTTTCTTGCCCAGATCCCAAAAAGGAATTCTCATTTTCTTCTCCTTGGCCTTCTCCAAAAATTCAAAGCTCTATTATTTTATATGACTTTAGTTAAATCTCAGACAAAATGTTTATATGTAATTATTTATAAAATGACCTCTAGAGTTCTCCTTCCTTTAGAATTTTGGCTTTTTTCTATACTGAGTAAATTCTTGAACAAATTCCTTAACTTCTATTCTATGTATGTATAAAAAGGGAAAAAGATATATTCCAAACTGCTATGTTGTTATGATAAGTCACTGATGGAGTAAATATGCAAAGGTTTGCTAAAAAAGGGCTATTGTAATGACAAAAGTGATTCTGTGGCTCTGACAGAATTCTGCTAAATTATTATGGTTTTGTTTATTTGTTTATTTCATGTGGGGAGAGGATATTCATGTTCCATAGTACACAAATGGAGTTCCCAGAATATTGGAAAGTAGTTTACTCTTTCAATTATATGGATATCAAGGAATGAATCCAGGTTACTGGCATTGATAGCAAGCACATTTGCCTGCTGAGTCCATAATTTATTTTTATACTTCGATGTTTTTCCAGTTACTATAGAGAGATGAATTTGACTCAGTCTCTGCTTTGAAGATCATTACAGATATGGAGACAAAATTGATACCCAGCCAGTGAGATAAGGGTACATAAATATAAGATACACTATTCTTATGGGCAAGAGTGATATGCCCAGTAATTGGAATCGAACCACCTTATTCAGACTCAGGAATGACTCAAAATATAGTACAGCTTTCATGATTTATTTCTTAAAAGCAATATGTAATATTTTTTTGAGAATTTCAGACACTGTACTTTGGTCATATTTACATCATTCTCCATCTTCTCTAAGATCTACCCCCATTCCACTACCCACATAAGTTTGTGTTTTGAGTACAAAACAAATATATTTTTTGCTGTCTAAATACTTTTGGTGTAGTGCTGATATGGAATATGGTCAACATAACAAAGTCAAACCCTTAAACAAATTGATTTTTATTCTCCTTGCAGCTCTTAATTGCTAGTAGTAATTTATCTAGGGTGGGATTTTGTGCCTACCTTTAACATTTATGCTGGGATTTTCTCTGGCTTGGACATGTACAGACATTGTGAGTACTGTTGCCACAATCTGATAGTTTATATGTGCCTCTCCTTTTGTATCCAGAAAACAATTCCTTTTCGTCATCCAGAAATTCTGAGTCCTACAGTCTTTCCATATCACTTTATCTGTGATGATCCCTCAGCTTTGGGGAGAACAGTATGATACAGATATCCCATTTAGGGCTGAAAATTGTAGAGTACCTTCTTCTCTACATGGATGATCAGTTGTATGTCTTTTGGTTAATTGTTACATACTGTAAGAAAAAGCCCACTATCAGTGAAGAAAAGTAATCACCAATCTTACCCTTGACTTAAAGTAATTATGAAACTGACAAAATACAACGAACCAGTAGTGGAATAAATGTTATTGGTTTAAACAACCACATTTAGTTCAGAACTATAATCTATGATATAGACCAAATACATGACATTATTGCAGCCAAGAACCTATAGCAAGATTGGCCAAAGGTCTTATAAGAAACATGGAAAAATTGCTTCTACTACAGAGATATACTATTCTTTCTGCAAGCATTTCCAACTGGCATACTAGTTCATGGTCTCACATCCTCGAGCATATTGGCAGCACTAAATGGACTTAATAACTCATCAAAAAAAATCATAATGTAGGGAGTTGCAATATGTAGGGATTGCAAAAAGAGTGGGAAGTGAAATCGGGACATATGTGATCATATTTCATTGAACACATGCATGGGATTTTAAAGAAGTAAATATATGGCTTTTAAGGGCCTACCAACCACTTGCCTGAGACTTTCAAGATTCCATTGTTTTTCTCTGCAGAGTAGTATTCCATTGTGTAAATGTGCCATGTCTTCTTTATCCATTCTTCAATTGAGGGGCATCTAGGTTGCTTCCAGATTCTTTCTATTAAATATAATGCTGCTAAGAACATAGTTGAGCACATGTCTTTGCTGCATGGATGTGGATCATTTGGGTATATGCCTAAGAGGGGGATTGCTGGGTCCTGAAGTAGACTGATTCCCATTTTCCTGAGGAACCTCCATACTGATCATCAAAATGGCTATACAAATTTGCACTCCAACCAGCAGTGGAGGAGTGTTCCCCTTTCTGCATATCCTCTCCAGCTTAAGTTGCCATTGGTGTTTCTAATTTTAGCCATTCCGGCAGGAGTAGGATGGTATCTCAAAGTTGTTTTGATTTGCAGTTCCCTGATAGCTAAGGATGTTGAACACTTCTTAATTGTCTTTCAGCCTTCTTGAATTCCTCTATTGAGAATTCTTTATTCAGTACTATACCCCATTTTAATAGGGTTATTTGGTGTGTTGTTGACTAGTTTCTTGAGTTCCTTTTATATTTTGGAGTACAGCCCTCTGTCAGATGTAGGATTGAAGATCTTTCCCCAGTCTGTGGGATGCCATTTAGTCTTGTTAACTGTGTCCTTTGCCTTACAGAAGCTTCTACTTTTGAGGAGGCCCCATTTATTAATTGTCAATTTTAGTGTCTGTGCTACTGGCATTATGTTCATGAAGTGGTCTCCTGTACCAGTTCTTTCAAGGGGACCTCCCACTTTCTTTTCTAAGAGGTTCAGTGTGGCTGGATTTAAGTTGAGGTCTTTGTTCCATTTGGACTTGAGTTTTGTACATAGCAATAGACATGGGTCTATCAACAGTCTTCTACACACCATCATCCAGTTGTGCTAGCACATTTGTTTTAAAATGCTTTTCTCCTCTCATTGAATACTTTTAGTTGTTTTGTCAAAATCAGGTGTTTGTAGGTGTGTGGGTTAATGTCAGGATTTTCCTTTCCATTACATGGTCTACCTATCTTTTTTTTGTGTGTGTGTGTGTGCCAATACAAGGCTGTTTTCAGGAATATAACTCTATAGTAGAGCTTAAAGTCAGGGATGGTGATGTCTCCTGAGGTTTCTTTATTGTACAGGTTTGTTTTGGGAAAAAAATGGAATTTTGAAATTCGCAAGCACGTGGGTGGAACTTGAAGAAACCATCCTGAATGAGGTAACCCAGTCACAAAAAGAGGAACATGGTATGTACTCACTCATATATAGATTGTAGACATGGATAAAATTATCATCAGCCTATAATTCACACTGCCAGAGAAACTAGGGTACAAGGAAGATTCTAAGAGATTCATATAAGGTCATTCACAGAAGGGGAAAGGACCAAGATCTCCTGAGCATATGAGTAGTGGTGTTGGAAGTGAGTGGACAGGGAGCTAGGATAAAGGGAAGGGGTGGAGAGGAAAGCACATGGAACTAGGAAGATTGAGTCAGGGGAGGGATAGACAAGACTAGAGAGAGGGAGAGGGAGAGAGAGAGAGACAGAGAGAGAGATAGAGAGATAGCATAGAAGAGGGAGCCATTATAGGTTTGAAGAGGAAATTGCCCCTGGAAAAATGTCCAGAGACCTACAAGACTGATGCAAACTAACAGTTTGAACAACAGTGGAACAACAGGTCAATAACTAACTTATCCACCATCATAGAACCCTTATCTAGTAGCTGATGGAAACCGAGACAGACACAGACACCCACAACTAAACACTGAGCCTAACTGGAATCCAGATGCAGAGAAGGAGAACAAGATGAGGCTACAGAAACATATAGAGACAGCTGACCTGAATAGGGAGGAGCTAATGGGCCCCCAAACTGAGAGCTGGGAATCCAGCATGTGACTGACTCAGACCCCCTGAACATGAGTCTCAGCTTGAAGTCCTGGGCAGTCCAAGGACCTCTGACAGTGGAACCAGCATGTATCCCTTGTGCATAAAAGCACTTTGGGGGAACATCCCCCTTGGAGTGATACTCCCTTAACCTAGAGAAAGAAGTGAAGTTCCAGTCTCTACTCCAAATGACTTGATAGATTTACATGACCCCTCCTGGAAGGCATCATCCTACATGTAGAGTGGGGGGGGAATGGGAGGGGAGGATGGTCATGGGGCATGAGAGGGTGGGGGAGAAGGAAAGAAGGAGGGACGGAGGGAAGGAGAAAGGGAGAGGGAACTGGGATCGATATGTAAAATAATATGAAAAAAATGGCCTACCAAATGACAAATGCTTTGAATTGTATTTATTTTCTTATACAATGTTTATGATTTCTAAAGACAGTGATGAACATGTCTTATGTTCATGAGTTCACTCCTTGAACTTGCAATTATTGCACAGTTTAAACAGGATAATAAAAACTTCAAGCAGTTCCTATACTTTGAATTGATATGTAGCCATAAGATGGCATTATTGTGTTAAAATTTTCTGGTGTAAGGTAATAATGTTTTTTTATATATATAAAATCTGTATTCCTCTTTGAAAATTCCATTCTGTCAAATGTTTCAGGGTGGATTTCCTATTCATATAAGTAGCCAAATACAAGCTTTTGACACTTATGTATGATCTTAAGAGAATATGAAGTCAAGATCACTGATTCAAACACTGCAAAATTCCTTTTAGATGTGTAAGAAAAAAAATGTGTGTGTGTGTGTGTGTGTAAGAAATATTTCTTATATATGATGTAGCAGTATACATTAAAGGAAGAACAACTTTTCTAGCACTGTGCTAAAGAGTAGAAGCCAAAGTAGAAGGAAGACATATGTTGTTTTTGTTTGTGTTTTTTTTCAAGTTTACAACAAGCATGTTATTGACTTTATTGACTGTGCTATATTTCTT